TTTTTTTTCAATGGGAACAAATTTTAGATATAATGGTTAAAAAAAAAAAAACGAAACCAAATGGACACCAAACTTTCAACATTTTTCAAGAAAAATTATACAAATCAAACACAATTAATTACAATTTCCAGTAAAACATTTTTTAGGAAAATCAATTTCCTGTAAAACATTTTCTTCCCACCCATTTTCCACATTTGCAATCAAACGGACCATAACTTCTATTACAATTTTAAGTTCGTGTTGTTGTTTGTCCATACTAATAAAAGTCATACATACGAAATAAATTAGTTTACACAATTCCTTTCCCATTGGTAACATAACTTTAATCGGAGTATAATAAGTAAAACAAAACAAAAAAAAGTATTATTATTATTATTATTATAGAAAAGTTATTATTATTTTATTATTTTATAATATACACAGATATGGGGTCTCTTTTAGCGTAGCGTTTAAGTCATAATACAGCAAAGATGGGGACATCATAAGCTGGAAGTATTGTATATCCTCCAGAAAAAAAATTTAAAAACTATTAGAACAAAGGAATAATCAACTTACAGAATAAAAAAAGAAAGGGATAAATTCCTCCAAAAGGGACAAATTATGGTCAAAAGTCTACTTTTTGTCCACTCGCGTTCTTTCGCCACACAATTTAAAACCTTTGGGATCATCGCTATTACGATTTTAAGTTTTTGACATCATTTGAACATTTTTGAATAGTTTAGAACCTCCGTTGCAATCATCCTTAAAGTAGTGCAATGTCAATTAATGTCGACCTATAGCTTAATCAATGTTAAGGTTATAATTGTTGCACACGCAACTAATATGAAGTAAGGATTTTACTATGTTTACATTGGTGAGTCAAACACTGGGGTGTCACGTTGACTCCCCAATGTATAGCCCCCTCCCCACGATAGGAGGATCCATGATTTTTTATTGGGTGTGACCCCCTAGGGGTGCAATCCTGATATACAAATAACAAAATTCATACACAAAAGGATTTAGTTATTTGTAGGGATTTTGATGTCCGCCTTGTTGATAGAAACAGTGTTGCCAAAAAATAATTGGTGTAAATTTTTATTATTTTTTAACAGCTGACATTCTGTCGAGTAGGATGTAGGATTTTTGTGTACACCAAGCATGGTTTTTCTGTACACTATTTAGTTTTTTAATTATATGAATAAATATAAGGGTGAAAAAACAATTATTCCATCTGGTTTGTGTTTCATTCTCAATGCATGAGTGTATGGGCTTGGATCTGAAAATAACATACATTATCCTTTAGAATATAATTTTCTCACAATTATTATAGAGACAACACGCTCCAAAAAGCTGCTCCCCAGAACTTTCTGACTCTAATTTTGTCAATTCCGAATCCGTACTGTGCTTAACCTCCCTCAACGGTCTCTATACGTACGTTTCTTGTATCTACACGCTTCAACCACCTGGTAGGGAAAATCCTGATCGCGTTTTCGAGCATTTGTTTATTTTAGTTTGAATTCGATACTGCTTTTTGTGATAATGTTAATTGTGTTGTTCTGGATCTGATCTGATTTTGGGATCTGAGTTCATTTGTGATAAGAATTTTTGGGTCGATTTTGAACTTTTTTAACGCAGTTTTAATGATTTTTGATGGTGTATTGCAGGTTTGATTTTATCTGGAGGCTTTAATTTGTTGTCTTTGGAGTGGTGGATTGTTGGACTTGGATTTTTTTTTTAAATTGGCATTGTTGTGGATGAAAATTCTGGAGGCCTTTTTTAGTTGGAGCGGCCCTTGATATATGTAATTAAGGCTTGAAGGGAGGATTTTGTTGCCGGGATTCAATAATTGCACGATAAACTATGATTTTGATAGCTTAATTGTGTCATTTCACTGAGTGATTTGCTGGATGCTCGATTGTGGTCTTTTCCAATGCCAGTTGATGTTGGTCGGAGTCTTGATGATATAATTTATAGAAGATTGTATCTGATGATTGGTTACAGTTTTCAGAGTTCTTGGAGATCAATGTTGGAGCAATAGCCAATAAAAACTGGGTTTTTGTACTCACTTTAGGAGAAGATTGCAGAAATTGGACATGAGAAGCTCTTGGTTCCATAAACTATCATTGATTTTCGGCCCTAGACTGCCAGTTAACTGGTTACTTCTGTGTCTAGTTAGCGTCTTTGTTCTGATTGCGGTTTTTGGATCATCTTCTCCAAGTGCATTTGAGAGCGCTTCTGTGAGGTCTGACATCTATACAAACAATAGAAGGCTAAAGGAGCAAGCAGCAGGTGATTATTTGGAGTTGAGGAATCTGGTAACTAATCATTTGAAGGATTTTGGTCCTTGTGGAAAGGAAAGAGAAAATTATTTGCCATGCTATAACGTGTCTGCAAATCTGCTGGCTGGTTTTCAAAATGAGGAAGAGTTTGATCGGCACTGTGAAATATCACGAGATCAACAGCGTTGTTTGGTTCGCCCCCCGAAGGACTATAAAATTCCTTTGACTTGGCCAACTTGTAGGGATGTTATATGGAGCGGTAATGTGAAGCTCACTAAAGATCAATTCCTTTTGTCTGGAAGCATGACAAAAAGGTGTTCTTAATTCCTTGTAATTTGTAATTTGGTATTGGATTTTTAAATTTCTGGCAGATAGTTCAAATAAAAAATATCAATTCATCCCGGATAGAAAAAAGGAAAGAATAACATGAGAATAATTGTAAAATACTCAACTTACATTTGGGATTAGAGCGTTTGTTGTTTCTGGAATATTTAGCCTATTTTCATATAAAACACATACTCACTTTGTGTTGTTATGTAAATATAGTAGCTTTGCACATCTGCTTTCCCTAATGTTTGTGGTTGCAAATTTTATAGGCTGATGTTGCTAGAAGAAAATCAAATTTCTTTCCGTTCAGACGATGGGATGATTATTGATGGTGTTAGAGATTACTCTCACCAGATTGCTGAAATGATAGGTTTGGGAAGTGACACTGAATTTCTCCAAGCTGGAGTAAGTTTTGCCTCACCATGTAGCTTTATTTCTCGCTTGTTAGTTTTGGCTGACTTCAACTTTAGCAGCATCAATGTAAATAAATTTATATTAAACTTGAAACGACAAATATATGTTTCCTCTTCTCTTTTGCTGGAAGCTGTACACAATAGAATTGTCTTCTATATGAAGATTTACATCTGCTGAATTGCAGGTGCGCAATATACTTGATATTGGCTGCGGATTTGGTAGCTTTTGTGCTCATCTGCTCTCTCTTAAGTTGATGGCTCTGTGTATGGCAGCATATGAGCCAACAGGTAGCCAGGTTCAGCTAGCCCTTGAGAGAGGTCTCCCAGCAATCATTGGCAACTTCATCTCAAGACAGCTCCCATTTCCATCCTTGTCATACGACATGGTTCACTGCACTCAGTGTGGCATTGTCTGGGATGACAAAGGTATAAATGATTGAAGATTTTGTTCTTCACCCTTAAATAACCATTTGTTCATTACAAGGTTTTCTTTTGTGCAATGGTGACACTTTAAGTATTATTCTTTGTTGCAGGGCCTGAATTTCCTTTTATTTAGTTAATTATTTTATGGGTATATAAATGTTGTTTTCACCTAAACAGTATGCATAGATGTGTTGGATGCTGCTGTATGAGTTTGTTGTTCTTCTGAAATCTATTTAGACCAACTTATATTGAACTCAGAGACCTTTCAGATAAATTATCTGTTTGACATTCTTATAAAAATGGAATGACTTTGGCTTGGTTTTTACTAATGGAGGTGGGTTTTTGGCTTGGGGATTCTACTTCATTTTAGAGTCGCTTCGTTGATTTGCCTTTCCTTTTTTTATTTTTTTATTTTTTGCAGTAATATATGTTTGTACTTTTGAAGAGGGAGAGTGACACTGGGAAATATCATGAAAAACCAAAATATCGTTGTCTAATAGAAAGTATATGCATGTAATTGTCAGATCCATCATTAAATTACACTTTTGTATATAACCCCTATTTGACAAACATTATTTCAAAACCCTTTAATTCTCGTACTCATTTTCAACTACATATTTACACATTAAAATATTTTGCACGTAAACTCAAAACTTTTCCATTCTTTTTAAATACACATTCTCCAAAAAAATCACTATTCAAAACTTCATTTTCTCAAAATAATGGCCATCAAACAGGGGCATAATTGCATTTAAGATGAAATTGTGATTTTAATCATTTCTATCATTTCATATACTTTTAATCTACTTCTCATGAACATCTATATGAAGTTTAGTTTGTCAAATCATTGCTGATGTTGTTGAATGAATTCCAGGGTGTAAGTGCTCTAAAGCTAACTGTGATTTAATAGATGACATCCAAAGATTTTTAGAGATGAGATCTTTTGGTGCTTTTCGATCCAATATCATGAGAGAGTTTTTAATTTGGGCATATTTGGAAATTGATTTTGATTCTAATGCAATGGGGACATCACCAACAGAAACGTGTTATTTTGTTTTACCTTATGATTAGATCATGAATAGAAATTCTGACATCAATGTCATCTTAATACTGTGATTAGATATATATTTTGTCCCTCAATGTTTCTGTCTGATGGTATATGATTCTTTTTCTAAATCAATTAATTACGAAACCTTGATGTTGCAACAATAAAATGTGGATGTATTGTGCACTACTTTACTTATGTTAATTTCTCCGTGCTGATTAAATTAACGATGCTGAAGCCAGAAGACAGCTCATAGTTGAAGGACTCCTGGTGCTGTATGTTTACTATATATACATGATTTTCTACTTTCCCATTTTATGTTAAGGTTGGATTGAGATGTTGGTGAAATGGGTTAGTTTTAAGACACTGAAATAATTGATTTTGAACCTATACAATGGATTATATTAATAATGATTTTATCTGTCAGATGGGTTGTTTCTTATTGAAGTTGACAGAGTACTAAGGCCAGGTGGTTACTTTGTTTTAACCTCACCTAGAAGCAGGCAGCAGGGAAGTTCCACGGACGCAAAGAAAGGAAGCATTGATACTCTATTTGAAGAATTCACCCAAAAACTTTGTTGGAATCTTTTGGCACAGCAAGAAGAGACTTTCATCTGGCAGAAAACTGCAGATGCTCAATGCTATACATCTAGGTGACACAAGTGGCTTTCACTTATTCTTGATTTGTCCTTTACTTCTTCGGCCAGTCTCTTCATACATGTTCTCTAAGGGGCCGTTCTCTTTGTTTTTTAGTTTTGTGTTTTGTGTTTTGATTTCATTTTGTGTTTTGTGTTTTTAGTGTCCATTTTGAGATAGTTGAAAATGCGTTTTTTTTGGTATTTTCAAAAATTGTTTTTAAAAAATAGGAAATAGAAAACGTGTTCTTCCCAATTGTTTTCAAAAATGAGGAAATGGAAATTCTCTGGCATCTCTCTTACTTCTTCTCAGACTCTCCGGCCTCTCTCTCTCTCCTTCCCTTCCCCTCTCTATAGCTATAAACGTCAGCCTCATGTGGTCCACGACCATGGGTCCACTGGGCGGCGTCGGAATCTGCCATTTTCCGACCCTGTAGCGCGGTGCGAATGGTGCAGATTCAGAATAATGGCATGTTGTTTTGGGTAAATTGGAGCTATGGCTGGAGTCGTCTTGGGGTGGGCAATCGACCGGTGGTGGTGCGCAACCTCTGGTGTCGCCGGAGCTTGAGATTCCGGCAGAAGCAGTAAGCTTCGAATCAGTTTTTGAGGAATTTTTTTTATCGATTTTGGAATATGTTTGGGTAGTGGTTTGTGTGGTTATTGAAGAAGGGATTGAGGGCTTCACAATGGTAATAAATCCGGCCGTTTTGGAAGAGGATGGCCGGAGTTTAGATGTTGGAAAGTGGTGGTGGAGTGTGGCTTGGCAGAAAGAAAGGAGGAGAGGTTTTGGGCCTGTTTCCCATGTTTTCCATTTCTGCTGGGTTTGTGCAGAAAAAGCCCAAAACGGCAGAAATGCCATTTTGCGTTTTCTTCACATTTTTTTTTTTCATTTTCCAAAATCCATGTTCGAAAATGATGAAGAGAACGCGTTTTCGCATTTTTGAAAAATCGAAAACAAAAAACGGGTGGAAAACGCCAAAGAGAACGGCCCCTAAAGCTCTCTGCCTTTGTTCACTTATCCCCCAGATCTCTCCTCCATTATCTTAATATTATTTGTTTTTCCCTAAAGCTCCTTTTTGCTTTTGGTTCTTTTTTAGCAAAAGAGGCACTTTACCACTTTGTAAAGGAGATGATGTCAAATCATATTATCAACCTCTTCCACATTGTGTAAGTGGGCCAGCTAGCAAGCGATGGATCCCAATTCAGAAGAATTCTTTTGGTTCTCTGAGCTCTTCTGAACTTGAAGTCCATGGTAAGTATTACTATTTCAATACCGGTTTGAATCTATTGTGACATGCTAGAATAAGCTGCTTTCACGTAAAATTTACAAATAGATGGCATATTGATTCAACTGGCATGTAGGAGTTAATCCTGAAGATTTCTCTGAAGACATGGAGTTCTGGAGATCTGCTTTGAGAAATTATTGGTCATTGCTTTCACCCCTGATTTTCTCGGACCATCCAAAGAGGCCGGGTGATGAAGATCCGTTGCCTCCTTATAATATGGTTCGGAATGTGATGGACATGAGCGCCAATTATGGAGGTTTAAATGCTGCATTACTGGAAGCAAGAAAATCAGTGTGGGTGATGAATGTTGTGCCCATTAGTGAACGTGAAACACTTCCTCTCATCCTTGACCGAGGTTTCGCTGGCATCTTGCATGACTGGTAAGATGTGTTAATTACAGATGGTCCTTTTAGTACTGGCAGACCTATTGTAGGCTTACAACTAGTTTTGACGTCAAATCAAGGTTAGCTTGGGCGTATTATTCAATCCTACATTGAATCCTCTTGGCATATGTAGATATACGTACCAACCTCAATTAAAACCATCAACTGCAACTTTTAGTAATAACTCCATTAACTGCAACTTTTAGAACCCAAAACTAAGTTTATCTGCTCAATAAAATTATCGAGAAAATTATAGTTCGAACGTCTTAATAGTGTTTTCTTGTCTTTTTCCAAATCAAAATTGATTCCATGGGATTTATCGTATGCATGTCTTTTGTGTTTTTTTCTTTTTTCCCCTCCATGGTTTGCATCCTAAGATTGTATCCTTCCTTTCCGTTTCCACTAAAACATCACCATCAACAAGTGTACTACTACTTAACTTCTGTAATAACTTTCACAGAAAGGTGATTTTGATATTCTAACATTGGGTACAGGTGTGAACCTTTTCCTACTTACCCTCGGACGTATGACATGCTTCATGCCAATAGACTCCTGTCACATCTTGCTTCAGAGGGATGCAGTATGATCGATTTACTATTAGAAATGGATCGTATTCTTCGGCCAGAGGTAATTGTTCGTGGAACTTGTTAATTCATAGCTCAAATGTTTAAAATTATTCCTTATGCATGCATAGTTCCTTGTTCTTGCTTTGGATACATCTCGACTCTTGAACATATTTGAGGGGTTTTTGCTTGTTGGCAGGGATGGATTATTATTTCCGATAAGGTTGGTCTTATAGAAAGAGCACGAATGATTGCTACACAGCTTCGCTGGGAAGCACGCGTCATTGATCTTCGGAATGGCAGTGACCAGCGGTTACTAGTATGTCAAAAGCCCTTTTTGAAAAAATGATTTTCCACTTACAAAACCTCTCACCATCCCGAGGACCATTCAGTTTCTTGAACTCTGGTAATTCCTTTAAGCCCGTCTCTGAATTAAGAACAAGCCGGATTATCTTTTGAAATGTTCTCTATAAATGGTTTTTAATGAATTAATATCGTGCCCCACTTCTTTTTTTTCTTTAGATGTAGTACACTAGAAGCCATAACATATGTGGATAGAAAAATCACCCCAGGATAATGAAAACAGAAAGTTTTGGAAGTTGTAGATTAGAAGAAGGTTTGCTGCAGAAGTATCCCAGTTCGTAAAGAAGATTTTTCCCTTCAAAAGGAGTCTGTTATAGCAAATCATTCATCTGTTTTCAAATTTTTTTTTTTTTCAAATTTCGATATTCATTTATTATTTTTGTAATCGAATTTTGCTTGTACTAATCAACCCTGATTCTTGATTGATTGCTAGATGCCATAAATGTAAGAAATGAAGATCACAGGTTTTACAATTTCATCCCATAGTTTTTAGTGAATAATGCTATTTGAAAGCCATGATTACAAACAACAATCTACGTGACAGTGTTACAGTCACATTCTCTAATGAATAATATCTTAGCTTAAAAGTAACTTGAAGTTAATTTTAAGTAAAGTTGTTACTTGTACATGGATATCTTCCTTTTTTTATTACAAGTAAAAGAAACAATAAATGATAATTTTTTACAAACTACCAAACTCGAGAAAGAAATTCAGAAAATCACATGAAACTTTGCTCGTGTTCATAATCTTAAATGCCCCGAAAGTTAAATTACAAGCTTATGTGAGTATGACTAGAGGGTTGATATACCTCATCAACCTGATTACTGGTTCAATTCTTTAGAAATATGAGATCTGTAAAAACAATATGACATTGCAGAGAATTTTCAGAATCATATTGGACAAGTTTCAAATAAGAATCCATTAGGAACTACACGGTACAAGGAACTCTTTTTTTTTTTTTCAGAGGTATCAGTTCTGCAAAATGTTCCATTCTTGATCAAACACTTCTCGATTTCTTCTATTGAGTCGTCCCTTTTATTACAGTCAATGAGAAATTGCATGCAAGCTCGGTTGATCCAACTGTTGAACAACTAGGACGCGAGAGTTTGAGCAGCCTTCTGACATTACAGAAACGAGCCGTCAGTGCATTCTACATTTTTGGCTAAGTTTAAAAAAGTAACATTTTGTACTGAAAATCTAAAATAAGTGACTTTTAAGTAGTAGCCTCGAACTAGGGGAAAAATAAGTTCGATTCTGAAAAGTGAAAACCATACCCGTTTTTGCTCCTCGATGTTTGCTTTGATAAGGGAATAGATTGCAACACCAGCAATGGCTATTGCAGTGCCAATCCCAGTTTGTGTGGAGATTCTATTGCCTGAAAAGTTTTTGCAAATCTTAGAATTAAGGCGTAAAAAGAAATTTAAGCAAACAAGCAGCAGCTCTAAACAAAGACGGGAAAAACCTTTCATGCACAGCAAATGAAAGAAGATTTATTTGCTGAAGAATCTCGTCTAAAAGCTTAATCTTTATTATAAGCATGGAAAAGAGATAACTGGAAATAATTACCAAATACTACAATCGAGAACCCGATCACGAAAACTCGCTTCAACACATTACCAACAGCATGTGTAAGAGGTGCAACCCTTTCCAAAGTGTTTGTGGCTACCTGCAATTATAATGAAAAGAAAATGAAATTCCAAGAATATAATCAGAAATACGAAACCTATGAAAAACTTTAAAAAAAAAAAAGAAAGAAAAAAGAAATTTGCAACTTGGATTTTAAATGATCATCAATCAAGAAGCTAAATAAATACTCTGTTCCCGACATACCTGATTGTACAAATGATAGAACATTCCAATCCAGAAAAGATCGGACAAGAACTTGTTCAGACCAACTTGGATTTTAAATGATCATCAATCAAGAAGCTAAATAAATACTCTGTTCCCGACATACCTGATTGTACAAATGATAGAACATTCCAATCCAGAAAAGATCGGACAAGAACTTGTTCAGACCAACTTTAGCAATTGCATCCTTGAACCCATACTGCATCAGCTGAGGACCCTCAATCTGAAAGTGAAAAAAGAAAAAAAGTCCAAATATTTGTTTTCGAGAAATTTGGTTCAATCAACATATTTGATCAAAGAAACTCACAAATATTGCCGGTGGGAGGCAAAACAAGAGAGCTATAATTGAAATGTATGCGTACACGTTTGTGCTGTCCATTCCCGTCTGCCACAAACAATTTTTTTGTAAGAAAACGGGTCAACAGGGGCATTGCAGACAAGTATTTGAAAATTTTACATCTATAGAATACGTGTTTGTTTCATATGTAAGTCTAACGACTTATGAACTTTTGAAAGATCTTACCATGGCTTTCTTCGAGTAAATACTTCTGTAAGTAAATGCAATGTTCGATATCATTGCACTAATGAAGCCAGTCCAGTTAAACGAAAGTTCCGTCAGTGATGCCATCGACACACCTAAACAGAAGTTCAGAGATGAGCAATTACAAGATGTGCTCAAATTCTACTCAATTAGAATCTGATTATCTGATTCGATTAGAAAGTGTCTTGTATAGGCATAAGAATTCAAAACTTGGTTGCCCTGTGATGCCCAAAATTCACTTCGATACTAGAAGAAATATCATGTTGCATTGTCAAGCGCGTGAATACAAATTTATCATCTGTTATAAAGGCATGGTTCACCATGGAAAAATCAGTCATACTTCATTTAATGGCTTCCTTAGACTTTAAGACTATAACTCAAGAACTCAACACCTTAACTCAAGTACAAGATATTCAAGATGTGTTTGGATGAGCTTAAAAGTCTATTTATAAGTAAATAAGTAATTTTTTATTGATCAAAATGAGAAATAAGTAATCTACTTTGTTAGCAGGATAAGAATTACTTTCGAAGTACAAAAAATGTAACTTGTATGAACATGTTTGGAAACTAGAAGTCCTTTTACTTGTATTTAAGCTTACCAAACATGATGTGAGTTTTGCCCGAGAAATTCAAAATGAACAAATCAACAAATTGGATTCAAGGATAGGGAACTATCGTACAAAAACAAATCAAGAGAAGGACGTGAAACATTGATCTTACAACTTACCAATCACGACCGGGGCCAAGGACAGCCACAGTGAAAGCGGTATTTGATGGCCTAAAATGAACTGAGAAGCAGCAGCATTGAAGAATGGCTCCAACGCTGTTGAAAGTACATAGTTAGATCATCAAAAGCAAGAAACAAATAATGAAAAGAAAGGATAGATTATAATAAGCTGACTACCCATACATGTCACATATATTTTGTAGGCAGTATTGAATAGGACTTAATAGTATAATGAAAGAAAAAGAAGTTAAAATATAGCAATTGTACTGTCAAATATAGCAGACTTAGGAAACTGGAGAACTAGTTCACAATATCAGTTTGTTACCTTTGATGGTATGCGTAAAAGATACAGCAACAGCTGCAAACGATACATTTGACATGACATGTCCGAGAGCATGACAAAATGCTACGGGAGTGAGGAGTGCTAAGAGGTCCTTATCAATCGGCTGCTCATCACAATCAAAAGCTTAAAGCAAATAAGAAAGCTAATATATTATATATACGAATTTGAGATAAATGATACAACAAGATTTTAATGGTGAAACTCACGGCACGTTTTGGTAGGCCAACACCCCAGCTAAGAAGACAATATACCACTCCGACTAGAAGATGCACAACCGAGACAAAACTGTAAAAGGGCAGAAATAAAACATCGATAGGTGAATATGAGAAAAATGGACTTTTAACAGGATATTACTAGTGAAAGCAAAAAATGTAAAAATCAAGAATTTGGTTAAAAACTAATATTCTTGAAAGCATCTAGCGATTAAACAACAAAAACTTACAATGGATACGGAAAATAATTATAGACCTTCTTGTTAAGTATATTGAATATAACATTCAGGAAGTACCTGCATCCACACCATCAAACAACTGATTCAAAATTTATTGCAGGGGCGATTATGTGTAGATAAAATAATCATCCATTACGATGCATATAAGCACAATCTACGACAGTACTTATTTATTTTGATCAACTCTTACAAGTTAAACCTACTGATTTACAAACGGTAATCATTGAACATAAATTCAAGAAAAATAAAATGTTCACAATTTCTTGATTACCATGTAAAGAAAAAGAATCCAGTAACTAGAGCTGGAAATCTCTGTGCAAAGCTCTTAGAAGGCTTAGAAAACCTGTCATTGTAAACACGATAAAAGAAACAAAGCACTGTCAGCGTTAAAAGAGCAAAATCTCTGTCTCTTAAATATGAAAATAATAAAAGATGTATACCCCAAAAACTCTATATCCCATCAAAATTCCAAAAATACTCAATAGAGTAATTTAATCCGTCTAAGCCTGTTCTTTAAAAATGAATTCGTTCAAAACTCATTTTCAACCGCACATTCTTTGATAAAATAATATTTTACATCACATCAATAACTTTTCCTTACTTTTAACCACATATTTCTTATTATATTACTATTTAAAATACATTTTTTTTTCAATAATATCCATCAACCACACCCTAAATCTCGAACAAGTTACATTTCTAAAATATGACAATGACCACTCTTCTCAACTAGGTCGACCTTTTAACGTACAAACTCAAAGCTCTACAGTTAGACCCTAAAATTAAAAAAGAATAATTATATGAGTGGAAAAGGCACAAACCCATTAGAAATTTCAGTCTCATGACCCTCCGCATCAGCAGCTGCAGCTTTTGCAATACAAGATTCACGGTGCTTCAATATATGATTCAGCCCAGAAATTCCCAGTGATTTTCCAGCAAATTTTACTGGTGCTGTAAAAGATTCAATCTTTTTTGAAGAAAATTCTAAATGATGGGCTCTTGAAATAACTTGTCTACTTGTATGTAGACTTGAAAATCTTGATTTTTGAAGTGAAAACCGAGTCAAATTTGAGATTGAAGCCATTGAAAAAGAAAGAAAAAAACAATTGATACAAAACTTTATTGAAGAACAATAAGAAGGGTCGTTCTTAATCTCGAGTTGAAGAATTTGAAGTAAAAGCATACAGAAACAAAAGTACTTTACGTTGACACCAAGGATTAGTTTAGCTTAGAAGCGGAGATGCCAAAGACGAAAGAATTTAT